TTTTTTTTTTTTTTTTTTTTTTTGGTTTTCTTTTTATTTTTTTTTAATAATTTTTATTTTTGTTTAAAGTATTACAGATGTCCCTTTTTCTCCCCAATGACCCTTTCCCCCTGTTCCTTCCCCCTCCCCAGTCACTCTCCCTACCATTGTCCGTGTCCTTGGGTTGTGCATATATGCATATAAATTCTTAAGAAGATAAAATCATTCATATGTTGGAAGTGCCCTTAGACCCAAACCTTCCAAGGAAGAATAACTGAGCATCAGTGGGCGTTGCCCTCCTCTCCCTGCTCTGTGTCCACTCTCACCTCCAGATAACTTGAAGGTTGACTTGAAGGTGAAGGGACTGTCTTGTGACATTGCCAAGAGTTCTGCTGCTATGGGTACCCAGATGCCCAAATCCATGGGCAAACTTTACAACTTAGAAAATTCAGCCTATGCTCAGCCATTTAAAAAATGAAATCCTGCCATTTGTGACCACATGGATGAACCTGGAGGACATTATACGAAGTGAAAAAAGCCAGACAGAAAAAGAGAATACTGTATGATCTATCATCTAAAAAAGTTGAACTCAGAGAGCCAGAGAGTAGGTGATAATAGGTGGTTACAAAGGCTGAGGAGGGGGAAACATGGAGAGAGATTGGTCAAAGAGGACAAACTTTTGGTTATAGGATGATTAAATTCTGGGGATGCAATGTACAGCGTGGTGACAGTGGTTAATAATACTGCATTGTAGCCTGGCCAGTGTGGCTCAGTGGCTGAGTATCAACCTATGAACCAGGAGGTCACTGTTTGATTCCCAGTCAGGGCACATGCCTAGGCTGTGGGCTCGATCCCCAGTGGGGGGCGTGCAGGAGGCAGTCAATCAATGACGCTCATCATTGATGTTTCTCTTTCTTCCTCTCCCTTCCTCCCTCTGAAATCAATAAAAAAATATATATACTGTATTGTATTCTTGAAATTTGCTAAAAAAGTAGGTTTTAAGTGTTCACTCTCCCTCCAAAAAAGGTAACTGTGAGGCAATGGATGTGTTAATTAGCTTCATTGTGAGAATTATTTCACAATGTATGTATGTGTGTGTGTATATATATATATATATATATATATATATATCTCAAACCATTACATTGCATACCTAAATATATATCATTTTTGTTAATTATACCTCAGTAAAACTGGGAAAAAATCAGCACCTGCTTTCATATTATTAGCATGTCTTTATATTAAAAGACCTCTTTGAATTTTTAATAAAAAAATAAAAATTATCATAATAAAAATATTTAAATTGAAACAGGGATCTTTCTTCTCTTTAGGAGAGTGGGTCGGGCTGCTGAGAGTTTCACCCCCACAGCAGTTAACTGCCAGCTGGGCGACTGGTCGGAGTGGACAGAGTGCGTTCCATGCCAGGACGTAAAGGTAAGACATGTATGACCAATTTGGGGGCATTTAATATTTGAATTATGTACTGGGTGTTCAAATGGAGATAAGCAGCCAGGTCTATAAATCTGGAGGCCTGGGGAGAAACTGAGTCTAGAAATAGGTGCTTGGAAGCCATAGACACATGGAGGGTAGAACTTTTTTGTTTTTTTGCCTCTCCTGATTTTGTTTGTAAGGCATTATTGGGTGAGGCTGCCAAAGATGTGGATATTTTGGCCTATACAAAGAAAAGCAGTTAGTTGGACAGTGGTACAGATCCCTGATGGCCAATCTATTGCCTTTTAATGAGGGCCTAATGGCTTAGTAGCAAAATGCTGAGTTGTCCATGAGCTATGGAAAGCTGAGATCAACCAAGCATGCCACAGAGGGGGTTCCTGAGGATCCCACTTTCATAGATTGAAAAGGATGACACACCCAATAAATAGATGTGTGTCTATCTTGAACGCCCGTCTTTGAGTGGTCCACGCTGGTGGGTAAACACAGTGGTATACTAAGGGAAGGGGATATTGGGAGCACTTCTCACCACCATTCTGGCAGGAAGGGATATTAAAATTCTGACTCTGTTCAGAACCCTGGCTCATGGTGATAAATAAAATGCAGGCTAGTTTCTATTTTGTTTTATTAGTGCTTTAAACTCTCTACAGACAACACGGGCCTTTGCTGGGTGCACCCAGGGAGGGATGCACCCAGGCTTCCGCCTCACACACACTCACTCGCCACTGCCTGAGCCTCGTGTAGTTGGCACACTACCGTCAAATGTAAATGCTCAAGCTCTGATTTTGCAGTGAGAGTCTGCCTTTGCATCTTATTTGCTGTGTTACTTTGGGCATATGTTTTATTCTCTCTCTGCCTTTGATTCCTTATCTATACATGAGAGTAGTAACCGTGCTTGTACCACGGAGCTATCATAAGCATTAAACGAGTAGTGGTTGCACAGTGCTTCCCATGGCACCTGGCACGTTAGCTATTTTCATAACTACGACCTGGGCCCTGGGTTCTCCAACCCCACTCCCACTGTTTGACTCAGGCCCCACCTGTCTCTTCCACAAGCTTTTGCAGAGTCGGCTGATGGTCCTTACTCCAGACCCGCTCTTTAGTTAGATGTGAGTGCCTATGAATGACTGATGAGCTGTTCAAAAGCACAGCGTGGTGGAAACACAATTCAGACCTAGTTCATTCAACTTCAAAGCCTGAACTTCATTGTTCTGCTTCTCCAGTCTCCGACATATGCCAAAGAATCCTAGATGACCCCTGTTTTAATCCTAGGCTGGCTCCCAAATGCTCATTTTGCTTTGAGATCCTGTATGAGTTCTCTGGGTCACCTGTAACAAATTGCAACAAACAACAGAAATTAATTTCTCACAATTCTGGAGACTAGATGTCTGTAACAAAGGTGTCAGCAGGGCCACACTCCCTCTGGAGGCTCCAGGGGAGAATCTGTTCCCTGCCTTTTCTGGATTCCGGTGGCTGCATCACTGCAATCCTTGCCTCTGTGGCCACATGATCTCCTCTTCCTCTGCGTGTCTCCTTTGTGTGTCTGTGTGACATCTCCCTCTGCCTTCCTCTTATAAAGACACTGTGATGGCATTTAGGGCCTACCCAGATAATCCAGAATAATCTCATCTCAAAACCCTTAATAATGTTTGCAAAGACCCTTTTTCCAAATGAAGTAACATTTACAGATTTCAAGGGTTAGGACTTGATTTCTTTGCATGGCCATTATTCAACCTACTATGTATCCCAAACTGTGTTTTTCCTGTACGTTGCTGTTTAGATAGCATATAGCGCAGGTGAATAACTCCCAGGTTAAATCAGAATTGAATGATCTCCTTAAGTAATCCTTAAAATAATTAAATCCTGTTATTGATGTGAAAGACACTCTAGTTTCCTTTTTATTAATATATTTCTTCCTCTCAAAATCACAGAGATGTGCATTTCTGGGAAGAAACACTATCTACTGGCTGAAAAAGGAAATTATGTCTTAATGACACAAACCATAGGCTATAGCACGAAGACACCCCTCGGGGAACACCTGCACCAACCTTTCTGCAACACAATGTCTTCATTATTTGATAACAACCCAGAAAACAGGGAGCCGGTGGGAACACACCTCATGTTTGTACCATTGTTCCCAGTGTAGGAACGACAGGAAGGATAGAACAGCAAGGACAGTCACTATTTATTAAACAACTTCTACATGCCAGACACTGTGCTAATGCTTTAAATAAATTGTCTTATTTGACTTTCACAGCCACCTGTATGTGATAGGTACCTTCATCCCCCTTTGCTTGGGTCACCCATTAGGAAAGTGGCAGAGCCTACATTTAAAATTTGATCAGTGTGACTCTAAAATGCTCTTGTGCCTGACCACCTCACTCTATGGCCTCTCCCTGAACGGTATGAAGAATAATAACATTAGGGGGGTCACCCAATCCAACTCCCGCTCAGTCATAAATCCTTCTGGAGTAGCCCAACAGTTGGCTACAAGAATGATGCTGAGGCTGAGAACTATGATTACTGACTGCATGCCAGCAACCAGGCAAAGTGCTCATTTCTTTACATGTATTATCACTGATCTTGACAACACTCTTGGATACCTTTCATTTTCCAGATGAGAAGACTGAGGGCAGAAAGGTTTAATAATTTACCCAGTGACACATACATGGTAAATGGTAGAAGTGAATTTACAACCCAGTTTAAAACGGTATTCATAATAGTACATAACCGCCCAAACTTGTGAGGATTAAATGAGATAAAGGATGTGAAGTGCTTGGCTAAGCACTCAATACATGGTAGCTACCAGCATCATTACCAGCATTCTGGTAAGTGCAGGTCTCAAAACTCTGATGAACTTTTCAAAGAGTAAAAAAAAGAATTGGCTCTATGTTGCTATGCTGAGCACTCCTTTATTTACTGCACTGTGCAGCAAGATACCAGGTAGAAAATGAAAATATCCTCATATTTCCTAACTGATCACTAACTATAAATGACAGAGTTCACTAATCTCTTACTGCTGTTGTTAATCAAAGGCAGGGAAGGCAAATGGACAGGTGTGATCTTTGTCTCTTTTGGTACCTCTGCCTCTTAAATAGGCAGAAGTGGGCAAGAAGGCTGCTCTGCTTCATGCTCACCCACCAAGTCATGGGGGAAAGGCTGCATTGATAAAGATGATGATGGTTTGGAAACCACTTCTGTTTATTGAGCACCAATGATGTGCCACGCCCAGGTCTAGGTGCTTTCTCATACATTTCCTCACTTAGTTCTCACAAAACCCTTTCAAGTTAAGGTGTCATTACATTCATTTCACATATTAGAAACCAGAAACTCAGAGCAAGCAACTTGCTCAGCGTCAGCTGGTAAGTGAATCTGGGATCTGAATCCAAGTTGGCCTAACTCTCATGCCTGGGCTTTTTCAAATGCAGGACACAGGAAAGAATCTTTAGTAATTGGTATTAGTGAGGTCAACTAAGTCAACCACCTCATTTTACACATTTGGAAACTGAGGCACAGAGTACCAAACACTGATACTTTATACAGCAAGTAAGAAATAGATCCGCCCAGCTGGTGTTGCTCAGTGGTTGAGTGTTGACCCATGAACCAAGAGGTTACAGTTCAATTCCAGGTCAGGGCACATGCCCTGATTGTGGGCTTGATCTCCAGTAGGGGGTGTGATGAGACTGCTAATTGATGATTCTCTCTCATCATTGATATTTCCATCTCTCCCTCTCTCTCCCTTCCTTTCTTTGAAATCAATAAAAACATATTAAAAAAAAAAAAAGAAATAGATTCAAGTCAGGAATCCATATCTCTTGCCACTCAAATCATTGCCTTCATACTTACTTATTAACATTCTTGCAGGAGGGGCCTAAAGATCTGATCCAAGGTCAGACTCAGCAGAAAATACGGGGTAACACATTGACTTATTGAACATTTTGTATGGAGCTCTCCATACAGCTTGTTTTGTATTGTTATATAGTTTATCTCCTCAACTAGACTCTTAGCTTCTTGAAGGCAGGGGAAGGAACTAAATATCTCTAGATACCCTAATGTTCAGCTTTCTCCTCCTACAGTGTCATGAAACCACAGGGCTCTGAGGTTGGTGTGCATTTTTATCCTTTCTGTCTTTCTTTCAACAAGTATTCATTTATCTGCAGCCAAAGCTGGACCTAGGGCCTCAGATGATGTCCTAGAGCTCTCTTTGTCTATCTCTTGGATGGGCTCTTTCTACAGAGTAGGCAAGATGACCACTTGATGCCCACAGTTCCCAGCAACTTCAATAAAAAGAAATGGTCTTTCCCAATAGATCTGAAAGAAAATCCTCAGAGAGGACTCTGACTGCCCTAAGGTTGAGCCATGAGCTATTCCCTGAGCCAATCATTGCAACTTGGAGATATGGTGCTCTGGTTGCCCAGCCTGGTTCATACCCAGACCTCCCTGTGACTGAGGGGATAAGCTCACCCCCACTGAACTATATGAGAGGATGTCAAGACCAAAAGAAATGCTGCAGAGGAAAAGCAATGTCTTCTAACAGTGCCTCCTGTGAACCTGACTATTGTATGTCAAGTGTACAAAGCCAATTAAGACATGGTCCTTCCTTTCCCACCCCTGCCCCCATGTGCAAATTGTTCCCAAACTAGTGAGAAAGGTAAACAAACAAGTGGGCAATCAATCATAACTTCATGACCAGATCTAGGGAGAGAGGAATGCAAGGGGGACTGTAGAATACATTACTTAGTTAGCAAAGGCTTTCAGAGGAACTGAACCACAAATCTTGAAAGACAAATAGGAACTAACTGGTTAAAGAAGCAGGGGAAGAGGTTCTTTCTAGCAAGTAGGAAGACCCTAGAAATATGTTGTTCAGGCCTTTCGTCTGTGCTTGGAGGCCTTATTCAATATTCCAGCTGGCGATCGTACCACCTCTGGTTGAGCATCCCTTGTTATGAACATTGATCTCTTCAAAAGACAGCTCTCAATCATTAGACAGTTTATTCCTTATGTTGAGCGAGACCTGCCTGCACAACTCCTGGTTGATTGATAGACAATGAACGTGTCTGGTTCACAATCTGATTTAGTACCGACACCGGAGCCTGCTGCAGCCAAACAGGTTTGGGGGAAAAATCTGCAGCGGTGACGTCTGGGATGAAATGAGCTGTCAAAGACCCAGAACTTGTGTACGGCAAGCGCAGTGTGGGCAGGATTTCCAGTGTAAAGAGTCAGGTGAGTAGCATTCCAGCGGGATACCTGATGTGCTTGTCAAACTTAACATGTAAAACACTCCCCTGGGAGCTTGTTAAAAGGCAGGCTCCCGAGCTTCTCCCTTAGAAATTGTCATTCTGTGGGGTTAAGATGAGGCCTAGTAATCTGTATCTTAAGCCAAGCCAACAGCCCAAGTGATTTCGATGCAAGTTTGTAGGAAAATCTGTTGATTCATTTAGAAAGATATAATTCACTTGCTCGTCCTTTTATTGAATAAATATTGATTGTTCACATATTATGTGCCAGGCAGTATGCTACCTGCTGGTGATATAAGATGAAAATATAATGTGCCTGACCTCAAGGTACTTCTTAGTCTCTTTGGGACAGAGATCTACAAGGACTTGCTGACAATACTGTGTGATAGCCAGGGGAACGGGCATTAGTACATGTTGCAATGGGACTCTCTAGCAGGGGCCACATAAATCTGCTTTGGGGAGTCAGAGCTGGCTTCAACATGATACTTGAACTTAGACTTAGAAAATAGTTTCTAGGAAAAAGAACATGCCAAAGCATGGGGATTTTAAGGACCTACTATCAGTTCAGAGTAATTGAAGGTCAGGCCTTTGGGAAGAGAGGCAGGGGATGGGCCATGTAGGTAACTGGAAGAAGAATGGGGAGCCACTGGAGGATGCAGGTCAGGGGGGTGACAGGGCCAGATTGGCCCTTTTAGAAAGAGCACTGGGGCAGTAATGTGGAGGCTAGACTTTAGAAGGGAGCCTGGGTCAGGGCCTGAGCTGGGGGCTGCAGGTGGGAGACAGTGAGGCTGGAAGGAGGGCAGAGGCAGGGAGGACAATAAAAGCATGCAACAGGATGGAGAGGGCTGAGGGGCGATTCAGAGGCGGAAGGGACTTGGTGACAATGGATGTGGGTCACGAGGGAGAGGGAGGAGTCCAGGAGGCTCTAGAAGCAACCACAGCCTCCTCTCTCAGGTCGCTGCCTGAAGCGTCACCTTGTGTGTAATGGAGACCAGGACTGCTCTGATAACTCTGATGAGGAGAACTGTGAAGACGTCAGGATCCCTGAAGACAAATGCAGCCTGTATGACCTGATTCCAGGATCAGAGAGGGCAGCCGCTGGGTGAGTCCCTGCCTTCTGGCCATTCGGGGACAGGGAATGATTTCTCTTCAATCATGAATGCTAGTCTTGGAGACAGAAGAGGGTCTTCTTGGAGGATTCCTCTGGAGTGCTTCCTATGAGGCAGCTGTCACTGTCCACCTAAGGTGGTGTCTTAGTCCGATTGGGCTATAACAAAATACCTCACCCGAGGTGGCTTACAAACAACAGAAATGTCTTTCTCACAGTTCTGGAGGATGGAAGTCTGAGATCAGAGTGTCATCAAGGTCAGGTGAGGGCTCTCTTTCACGTCTTGTTGCATCCTCACATGGCAGAAGGGGCTAGTGGGCTCTGTGGGGTCTCCTTTATAAGGGTACTAATACCATTCATGAGAGCACCACCCTTACGATCTAAGCACCTCCTGAAGGCCCCACCTCCTAATACTGTCACAGCAGGGAATAGGACTTTAACATATGCAATTTGGGGGGACACAACATTCAGTCCATAACAGGGTGCTTTCCAAGCTCTGCCTACATGACACCCTTGTTTTCTCCTCTATGTCTCTACCTGAGAGCCCTCCTCTCCTTTCTCCCCTGCTCGCTCCACTGTTTACTCCTCTCACCCCAATTTCATTGCCAAGGCCCTTCTAAGAAGCCACATCTTCCATGAGTGCTTCCCTGATGTCTCAAGAGAATGGCTCCTCTCTGACCCGATGCCCTTCCCAGCACCCTGTTCACATTCTGCTTGGACTGTACTTGCTGGTATAACCAAGGCTAGCAGAATGACACAGTGCAAAGAAAATGGATTTGGGATGGCATGAAGAGGGGCTTGACTCTGCCCAACCAGTGCTTACTCACACCTCCCAGGTCACAGTGTCTTACCTGATTGAGATTCAGTCAACCTTGATTCTAACTTTATCATCTACTTTCTGCTCAGGTTCCATTCCTTGAATGCATCACACTCTTTTGTTCTGAGACTTAATAAATTTAATTCCTTCTTTCTGAAATGTCCTTTTCCATGTTTCTTACCTGCCTAACTTCTTACCTAGTGTTATAAACTGAATTTTGTCCCCCTAAAATTCATAGGATGAAGCCCCAACCTCTGTGTGGCTGTATTTGGAGATACCGCATTTAAGAGAAGTAATTAAGGCTGAGTGAGGCCATAGAGTGGGGCCATAATCCAATAGGACTCACGTCCTTATAAGAAGAAGAAGAGACCCCAGAGATCTCTCTCACAATGGGCAGAAAAGATGCCATGTGAAGACAGAGCAAGAAGGGGGACATCTGCAACCAGGAAGAGGCCTCAGCAGAAACCAATCCTGACAACACTTTGACCTTGGACCTCCAACCTCCTGAACTGTGAGAAAATAAATGTTTAATCTTAGAGTCACCCATTCTGCGGTATTTTATGACAGCCTGAGCTAACCAACTTATCTGCACAGCACCTCTTCCTCGTGCTCTTTTTGACACCCCATTCCCCCCATCACTGCCTAGGCTGGCTTCATCCTCCTGCTTTGCTCTCAGAGTCCTTTGTGTGTCCTACCCTTCTAGCATTTGTCCCACAGGGCTGGGGCATCTGTTACAATGTCCTTCTGCTCTGATAAGAACTCCTCACCATCTCTGCTTCTCCAGGCCCCAGCACAGGGCCAAGCTCATAGTGACACTCAGTATTGTCAGTTCCCTGGCTTTTTGTGTTTGTCTTGGATCTTGTCCCTTAACTTGAATGTAAACTCTTTGAAGGCAGAGAGGCTGCTCCTGATTCATCCCTTTTATCACCTGAGCCCTGATGTCAGAGCTTTCCCATCATAGCCTCTCACTGTGTGTTGACTGAACTGGAACTAATCAATATGATGAACTGGATCTTTACAGACAAGGGAGGGAGTGGGGGGATGCAGTAACCATCACAAAGTGACCCGGCCATGCTGCAGCCCACTCAGGGTCAGGGGAGGGTGCTGTGACCTGCAGCTCTCCTTCATTATGGCTTAACTGCCCTAATGTCTCAGCCCACCTACCAAATAGGATAGAATCCTGTAAGTGCATGGAGATACACACTTAGGACGAGATTCTAAAATTCCGCTTTCTTTCACACTAATGGTATTCATTTGCTCAGGTTGTCATAATAGTGTACCACATACTAGGTGGCTTAAGCAACAGAAATTTTCTCACAGTTCGGGAGGCTGAAAGTCTGAGATCAGGTGTCAGCAGGGTTGTTTTCTCTGAGGCCTGTTTCCTTGGCTTGTGGATGGCCATGTTCTCTGCATCTTCACATGGTCCTCTCTCTGTATGTATCTGGGTCCAACTTTCCTCTTCTAATTGGATTATGACCCTCCCCAATGACCTCATTTTAACTTAAATATCTCTGTAATGACTCTACCACCCAAATGCAGTCAAATTCTGAGGTTTTGGGGGTCAGGATTTCAACATATGAATGCTTGACGGGAAAGCAATTCAGTCCCTTACACCAATGAAAGGGGATTGTTGTCGATTTTGAAAGTGACTGTGGGATGAACAGGATAGAGCATAAAATACTGAGGTTTGACTTAAAAAATAATTACCTTCTCATTGGCAAAAAGATCATAGAGGCATGACCTGGTCTCGTGTGATTCAATCAGGAGCATTTCATATATACGTCCTGACTGCTTTGCCCACACTAGACACTGAAACCAGTAGAATGGCTCCTCCTCCACTCCTGACAGCTGACATCCTGATGTTTTTTTTTAATCCGAGATCTTAGACGCCTTTCTTGATACTTTTTTTCCTAATTGAAGCCTTTCCTAGTTTTTAATTTGTATTTATTGTTACAGAAGTCACACATGTTTGAGGTAAAAAGTCTTTCCCCCCTCCCTGACCTGCACCCACCCATCACCCTCTCCCACTGCCCTACCTGGAGCTGACCCCATCAACAGTTTGGTGTAGGTACTTTCAGATCATGCAAAAGTGCATTGACCGTGTACGTTGTTTGTAAAATATGCCTATAATATGTATTGTGCATTATAGACACAAGTATAGTTTACATAAATGTGATCATACTATATATAGTCTACAAGTTGCTTTTCTCACTTAATAATACATTTTGAAGATTTCATCCATATTTCTTGTTGTCTCTTTTTAAGTAACATATTATATTCTATAACAGCAAACCATGGCCTGCAGGCCAAATTCAGCCTGCTGTCTGCTTTTGTAAATGAAGTCTTATCAGAACACTGCTTTTGCAGAGTTGAGTAGTTGCAACAGAGACCTGTAGCCTGCAAGGCCTAAAATATTTACTATTGGCTCTTTGCAAAAAAATTAAAAAGTTTGTCAACTCTTCTCCTGTAGTGTAATTATACGATAACTTATTTAACTACTTCCCATTGAAAGATAATTAGATTGTTTCTCTAACAAGCAAACACCGCAGTGAACACCCTTATACACATATTTTTTACACTTGTCTGAATATTTCTGCATAGCAGATTTATGTTCAATGGGAGGAAAGATAGAAAGTGTAGGTGGAATAGAGGAAAAGAACCCATATTTGTGTCCAAAAAGCTCTAGGGGGGAAAAAAATCTAGCTGTGATTATAGGCAAGTTACTTAATTTTTCTGAGCTTCAGTTTCTGCATTTGCAAAGCTGTCATGAGGTTGAAAGCTAGTATGTGCTAAATGTCTGGTGGAGTGTATTCAATTCATCAGAGCTACTGTTACATCACTTCCACTAATATGAGGAAAGAGATTGAGAAAGGAAGAGAAGAAGGAAGTTAATTTACACATAATTTCTACAGTATCCCAGGGGTTCTCTGGTTGTCCACTTGCTCCTTTGAAACAGGTTCTATTCAGTTTTTACCCATCTTAGTGCCTTTGTGCCTTTCCACAGAGGCCATAGACAAACATCACAAGATCATCACTGAATGCCATTGGGCCACAACTGCCTGTTGTGGAGGAGGGACAACTGCCTGTCCAAGATAATCAAAGACGGCCGTACAGAGGAGGCAACACTTGAGTTGGGTCTTAAAGGCCGAATAGGAGTTTGAGAGGCAGAAACAGGCAGTCGTTTTATTATCTATAAAAGGCTTTGGTTGTCAGGTCTTGGAACTCTTAGCCAACTCTAAATGCTTTTGTTCAGTTAACTTTCTCTTTTTAGAAAATTAAAGCTGTATTTCACCTGTTGAATACTATTGTTGCCTTTAAATATGGTTAAACCATCCATGGCCTAAAATATAGAACTTGAACAGATAGATTTGAAATACCCCAGAGAGGGAAGCATGGGAAAATATTTCTGTAACAGTATTGGGCTAGAGGAAAGGAAGTGTGATTGCTGAGTGCCTAATATGTGCTGTCAACTTTACTTCTGTTTTACTTTAACACTACCATTTAGACTTCACAAAAACCATGAGAGGTCGTTTTATTTATGTCTGTTCTTCAAGTGAGGAAAATGACTTTCAGGAAGATTCCAGAATGTGTCCAAAGTCACACAGCTGGTAAATGACAGAATTGGAAATTAAATGGGAGTCTCCCTGACTTTCAAACTGTGCACCCTCTGACATCCCATGCTGCCTGGAAGACAATGGCCTCTCTGAGGATTAGATTCTCAGCTTATCACAGTGACTTACCCCCAATATTTCAAACCTACATTTTTTTAAATCAGCAAAGCCCTTTTCTGAAATAATACTAGCATAAATGTTAATACTAACATTTATTAGTACTTAATACATGCTAATAACTATTATGATTCTTCTACATGCTGTAGCTAATGTTTAACTCTATGAGGGCAGTATTAACTGCTTTTTCCAAATGACTAAACTGAGGCACAGAGAGGTTAAGCGATTTGCGCAAGGTCACACAGCTCTATGTGGCAGAGATGGGAACCAGGTCCGGACTGTCTGGTTCCTGTGCTTGGACTCATGATCATTGTGCATATTCTTCTTTAACTTCTTCAACAAGTATTTAGGGTTGTCCCTATGTGGGAGCACTGTTCTAGATGCTGAATGGAGCTGCCTGGCTGCTCTGGTTAAAGAGAACCTGAAGGCCCAGGCCCTGCTCCCTCACTTGGTCTCCCATTGTTACCCAAAGTGACCTTCGAGGTACTTTGAGGGTTCCAGAGGACACAAGTTTGAGAAACCACTGCTCAGATGACCAGCGACAACGTCTTCCGGAGGCTACTTGAAGCTATCTGCCTGCCTTTCTAATTTAGGTTCAATATCCTGACGCAGACAGAAGCCCAGAGCGTGTACGACACCAGGTATTACGGGGGCCAGTGTGAGACGGTGTACAACGGGGAGTGGAGGGAGCTCCGCTACGACGCGGCCTGCGAGCGCCTGTACTACGGCGACGATGAGAAGTACTTCCGGAGGCCCTACAACTTCCTCATGTACCGCTTCGAAGTAAGCCTCACGGGCACCGCAGGAGGGGCCCGCTGCCGAGACGGGCGCCTCGCTCGGAGATTTTCTGTCTTCTAGAGCTTGCAGGCGGCTGAGGTTCCTTTACGCCTGCCCCCCATGCTCAGTGCTCGGGGGCAGTGAGGGGCGAGGGCAGGGCTGGGACAGGTGGAAGGTCAGTGCGGCCACCCACCTGCTAGCTCTTGGCCCCATTCTGAAATCCGTACTCTGTGGGCTGCCAGTCGGAAGACCCATTTCCAGGTCGTGGGCCTGTTAGAATATAGGAACAGCCAGCCCTCTGTATTAGCAGGTTCTGCCTCCTGGGTTCACCCACATGTGGATCAAAATTATGAAAAAAATACAGGTTGCTCTGCTGTTGCCATGTACTGGGTAGTTAGGCCGTCTATGACAGAAGTGCAGACTTGTTTATTCATTATTCTCTAAAGGATACGGTATAACAACTATTTACACGGCATCTAAATTGTACTGGGTAGTATGAATAGTCTAGAGATGGTTTAAAGCATACAGGAGGACGTGGTAGTTTATATGCAATTATCACGTCATTATTTACGGGACTCAAGCGTCTGTGGATTTGGGCACGCACAGGGAATCCTGGAGCCATCCCCCACAGATGCTGAGGGGTGTATGTATATAAGACTTTGAGCAGCTCATCGCCCCTCCTTGGGCCCAGTTTCCTACGTTGTAAGGTGGGGGCAGGACAGGAGGTGGCTGGACTGGCTTCTGAGACCTCTGCCTCTGCCTCGCCAAGAGCTGCTCCCCACTGATCTCTTTCATATTTTAGTTTTGTGCGTATGGTTTTGTTTGAAGAAAGGGTTCTGCTCTTGAAAAGTGCTTGCAAACTGCTGATGATCTGAAATCCTCTCCATCTCTAAAATTCCGTGGTCTTCTGGCCACTCGGAGCACATAGCTCACAATCAGCTCCAGAGCCTGCTCCTAACCATTCATTCCTTCAACCTTCACCCTCTGGGTGAGACATCCACAGGGCAAACTTCACTGGATGCTTATTATGTGTCAGTTCTTCTGCTTTCACACAAATTCTCTCATACCAGCACAATGGGGCAGATGTTATCATTTTCCTTTTTTAAATGCTAAAACCCCAGAGCCTTAGAAGGCTAAAGGACAGGCCCAAAGCAGTACTGCTGTAGGTGGCAGAGATAAGATTCCAACCCAGGTCTATCTGAACTAAGCCTGGATATATGTCATTTAGAAGAAGGGTTAATTATACACATTATGTCTATATAGTCATACACACCATATATATATATACATATATATATATATACACACACACACACACACATTCCACCTATAGAGAGAGATGGTAGAACCTTTAGACTCTAAACAATTATCAAATTATATTCCCCCTTCCTCCAAGTTTCTCAAGAGAAAAATATTGACACAGGGTAAAGCCAGACTTATAGAGTCTGTGTTTAAGGAGTTGGTTTTCCCCACCCACTTCCACCTCTGCCATCAGGCCAAGCTGGAAGACACTGACAACACTATTCTCCTAACCTTGAGGATGGTCTAGGGTCTGTATATCAGGCAAAACAGACTAAGCTGCGCTGTGGCAGCAAAGGGTTCTGAAATCTCAGCGCTTTGAAACAACAGTGCTCTACTTACGCTACTTTTCCACCTAAAGGTGGAAGGGAAACTCACATCATCACAGACACTCAGGGCCCAAACTGATGGAGGTTCTACTGCTCCACGTGCTCTCATGACTGCGCAGTGAACCACTCACGTGCTCTTTAATCCTTGCTTCCTTGGTTCAGGCAAGGCAGGCACAAGGCCATGCCTCGGCTCAGGCTGGCAGAGAAATGCAACCCTACCGTGAGCCTGGAATGAAATAACTGCACATTTGGGGGCAGCACTCAAGTTTGCCTCTGCCTAGAATGATCATCATCTGCTTGGCTCCCTTTCCTCGCTGGTCCATGCCCAGGTGTGGCTTTCTGCATCTCTCCATCGCAGAGCCAAGCGAGCGTCTGCACAGGAAGGATAACCCAGCTGAAAAAGAAACCGTGCTCAGAACAGTATAGCATTTTACCAGAATCATGTCTGTGGGTGTGTATGTCAATAAACATTTTAGCAGTAACATTAAAGAGTCGCTTAAAACACTGCTGTATTTTCTGTATCTTACTATCAGTCTGATGCCTGGATTAGCCTTTTAAAAGACTTATTTATAATCACCTGAAACTTGATAGATATTTTACAAAGCGAAGACTGAAATGCTAAGTATGAATTGGAATATAACTCTATATGCACAAAGCTAACATCCATTTGTTTCTTCTCAGGCCCTGGCAGACAGTAGCTTCTCCACAGAGTTGTATGAAGATATAAATGATGTTTTTTCTAAACTAAAAGAAGACCTGTTTGTGTCAGGGGGGTTGACGTTTGGTGTAGGCCCAGCAGGCAGCCCTGTGACGGTGGATGCAGGTGTGTCCGGATCATACGCCTCTTCACCCGTAAATGAGTTAAGAAAGTATAACGAGAAGGTATTAACCTATAACGTCTGTGTCGCACGGTATCCCACAGTCTAGACTGAACACGTAGCGCCTTAATTGCATTAAAAAGTACAGTAGTAATTGAACCTTCATTTGCTTGTGTACTTGGAAGCGTCTGATCTGTGGTAATCACGTTTGTTTTTCTTATTACGCTCTCACACATGGAATCATCAAGGGGTAAAATCGAATGACGAGACCAGACCCCTTATCACTTCACCCCATCTTTTCCATGGCTACCTGGAGTATATAGGGAAATCCTTAGAATGGTAATGTCTTAAAGAGGAACAGCCAGGCCCTCTACACTAGACTTGGAGGAAGTCTAAAGCAAGCCTCCCTTTTGGAAACAGGCCGGAGGGCTGGCATGGCGAGCCAGGTTTTCATTTCTTCATTGGACATGCACTACTGTTTGCGGTCCTGAGGGGCCAGGCAATACGTCCTTGAGGAAAGAACATCTCCCTAAACTGAGATCTAAAGACTAGTTCAGGTTCTCCAGATGAAGGGAGGCAGAAGTTAACAGAAGGGTGTTCTAGGCTTGGGAGACAGCAGGTACCAAGGCCTGGAGGTGAGAGAATGCCTCACAAGTTTGAGATTGAAAGTACTTCAGCTGCCTGAAGCACTGGGAAGGAAGGAAAACTTGGGAGTCATGAGGATGGCGAGGTAATGAAGAACCGGAGGAATATTTATTGACCAGGTTAGAAATCTACCAAAAATGCCTCAGTAACATAGATTCCAGAACTGTGGATTTAGTTGGGGCTCAAAAAATTATCTCAAATGATAAAAATACAGTTATAAAAATTAACTTTCTCATCAAATATTAGTTACATTCTGGAGCTTTGTCACAAATTAGCTATTGATCTGAAGAGGAAGTATTGTTCTATTGGCTGTCTGTCACATGTGAATGTGGACTTCTCTAAATGCAGTGACCTCGTCAAACTTCCACTATCACTTTGGATCAAGGTTTACATTACCTGGAAGTAATGCCCATACATGACCCTCTTCCTCTTAAACCAATTCAACATTACCCTGGTCCTGGTTTTATTATTATTATTTTTATTAAATCAGGATCCTAGTTTTCTTTATTATTGAACAGAACACAATTTTCACTAACTAAAATATAAGCTGCATGTAGGACACTAACTCAAAGTGTCCTACATGAGTACAGACACTTTTAGATATTTGTGCAATAAATTCGATAAATAAATAATCCTGGCATTTTGCCATGTCACTGAAAAGATTTTTTTTTTTAAAATATATCTTTATTGACTTCAGAGAGAGGAAAGGAGAGGGAGCGAGAGAGACAGAAACATCAATGATGAGAGAGTCATTGATCGAGCCCGCAACTCGGGCATGTGCCCTGACCAGGAATCGAACCCCGATCATCTGGATCCTAGGTCGACGCTCAACAGCTGAGCCACGCCCGGCTGGGCAAGATTTCTAAGCATCGTTTTTATTGGATGCCTAACACTTGAGCAGGCGGTTGCTTAATGCAATGCTTTAACTAGAGCAGGGGGAGGGGTGAAGATGAGACGAGGCTGGGGGCAGACTAGAGGTGAGGGGCACAGCAAAGCACTAGAGCAAGTACCCAGGGGAGCATTTATAAGAGCTGGGCCTGGACAGGGGCAGTGGGAACAGAAATGAAGTTATGGGAAAAGAAGCCAGGAACACACTGGTGTCTGATGTGTGCTTGTAAAACATATTGAACCTCCAGTATGTCTTTATGCTCATATATGTATATGTAAATATATATATAGGATATCCCCAAAAATGTATATACACTTTAACAGCTGATAGTTTAATTTTGAAAATGAAATGTGTTTTAATAAGCACTGCCTTTATAATTATTCAAAGTGCGTGTATATATTCCACAGCTAAAAAATGCTGACCTTTTATGTGATCACAGGTAGTAAAGCATATACTCTCCTTGTTCTTTCCCGTGGTGGTGGTTGTTGGCAGAAATACAGCTTCATGAGGATTTTCACGAAGGTGCAGACGGCCCATTTTAAGATGAGGAGGGACAACATCATGCTGGATGAGGGGATGCTGCAGTCGCTGATGGAGCTTCCAGAGCAGTACAATTACGGCCCATACTCCAAGTTCATCAATGACTACGGCACCCATTACATAACGTCTGGGTCAATGGGTGGCATTTATGAGTATTTCCTGGTACTTAACAAAGAAAAAATGAAAAAAACAGGTAAGTAGAAGCTTCATGCACACAGTGGCCAGTGCCTACACCAGAACATGGTTTGCAGTGTTCTGAGCACTGACTATGAGCCACACACGATCTTATTTAGTCCTCATGACAACCGGATAAGGTGTCATTGGTATTATTTACAGGGGGTTGGGGTCCAGAGGGTGAAATGGACTTGCTAATTAAGCACTAAAACTGTGATTTTATTTATTTTATTTATTTATTTTTTAAAATATATCTTTATGTTGATTTCAGAGAGAGGAAAGGAGAGGGAGAGAGAGAGAGAAACATCAATGATGAGAGAGCCATTGATCAAGCCCACAACCTGGGCATGTGCCCTGACCGGGAATCAAACCCTGGTCGCCTGGATCCTAGGTCGATGCTCAACTGCTGAGCCACGCCCAGCCAGGCTAAAACTGTGATTTTTAACTCGTACTTGTCTGACTCCTTAAAACTATGTGTTTTCTATTTCACCACAGTTACCTCTTTAGTAATAATCTGGGATTTTGTTATTCAAAAGATTAAAACTTATTTTAAATGTAGATTCTTGGTTAATGAAGCTACCATACCCATCAGTCAGTGAAGCCAGAAAACTGAAGTCATCCCAGACTCCTCCCTCTCCTTGCCCCTGTGGGTCTCTAAGACCCTTCAGTTCTCTCCCCTGAACGGCTCTCATCCTCCCGCTGTTCTCCACATCCACTCCTACAGCGACAGGCTGGGTTCTCATCTTTCCCTCGTTACCGCATCGGCTCCCAGTGGTTTCTAGGGGAAGGCTCACTCCTTTTGGGCCTTTCTCAACTATGGCCACCAGAAGGATCTTTCTGCTTCACAGACCTGATAATATCACTTTCTTCCCTAATATCCTGAATGGCTAAGAATAAAGTCTAAACTTCTCAGCATGACACCAACATGGTCTCACTGCACAGTCTCCCTCCTAACTGCTAGAATAGTGGTTCTCAAAGTGTGGACTCCAACCGGAAGCATCAGCATTACCAGGGAACCCGATAGAAATCCAAATTCTCAGGCTCCTATCCCAAACCTACTAAATAAGAAACTCTGGGAGTGGGCCCAGCAGTTTGTGCTATGACAAGCCCTCCAGGTGATTCTGATGCTCACGAGTTTGAGAACCACTGACCTAATCAATGAATGAGTAGAAGGGTGAGAGATTATCCATATTTCAAAGCCAAGGTCAAATTTCCAGTTTCAAGGAGTTTCCCTGACTGCACCAGCCCAGGCTAGCCACTTCTTTTCTTCAACACATTCATATTAATTCTACACTGTTTAGGCTTTAAAAAACAAATTTCCAAATGTTAATATTTTTTCCTCATGTAGATTACATGAGCTTTAAAAGCAAGTATCATGCCTGCTGCTTACCTGTCTCTTTAGCACTCAACACAGGGCTTAGCATGTAGTGTGTGTGAAAAATAAGACATGGAGTTTGAAAGGGGCATTCATGTAGATTCCTGGCTAGGATCATTCACCAGTTCAGCCATATATCCATATATTCCTTCTTTCATAATTCACATATCTGTTGACTATATCTATTATGCATTTGTGCTAGGGATACAATGGTGAGCAAATCTAAATATGGTTCCTACCCTTTGTAGCATAGTAGTCTTCAAACTGCAGGGTGCAACGCTGTAGTAGGTCTTGAAATCAATGTATGGATCACAAATGACATTTTGAACAACAAAGGATAGGATAGAAAATATAGTGGATTGTAGGCAGTGCAGATGAGTTATTGCTCAAGAAACTTTTTCCAGTTAAATATAGACACATATATATTTACAGAGTAATGATTTGAAACAAATAATGTAGTATGTAAAAAAAAGAGTTTGAAAAACTTAATTCAAGTGGGTCTTTTTAGACTCTTTTGAACACTTGAGGAAGGAAAAGAGCTAATATTTGTTGAGCACCTACTAGGTTCTAGGTGCTTTTGTATATATTCTCATTTAATTTTCTTGACAACATGTGGACATTGGTATTATGACAGTTTTAGCCCAGAAATGCTGAGGCTCCTCAGGGAGGTGAATTACTTTGCCCAGGGCTGCAGGAAGCTGGCCTCAGAGCCCCGGACCCACTGCCTTTCCACCATGTGGTCGTGGTAAAGCCTTTCATTCGGGCTCCCATCTTCGGTGTGGGATTACTAATTAATTGCCTGGGGTATCATGTGGCCCCTCCTCTTTAAAATCTGTGAGGCAGAAATGGGCTTCCGATGTGGTTAATATTCAAAAGGAGCCCACCGACAAATTGTCCCAGGGATAATTACCTAGCTCTGTTTATAGAAAACCATATGTCGATAATAGCACAATTGGCTATTTGTGAAGAGCTGATTTTCTATAAATCTGGAGAGTTAGTGTTGCTTTTCTATAAATATGGAAATGTGCTAATCATCACCTCATCTGCTGGTGCCCGCTAATAAATCAGAATGTCATTTACATATTAACCTACAAAGAATAAAACATCTACCTTCTTTCCCTTTGACAAGTGGAATCCTACGCACCCTCCCTCCATGTTTCACATCTGTCTGGTTTCTCTTCATCTCTTTTTCAACACCCCCCCACACACACTCTCTTTCTTTCTCGATGCCTTGCACTCTCTCTCTCAACTCATTTCTCCGTCTTTCCTCTTTGTCACTGTCTTTTCCTTTCTGTGTATCTTTCATCTCTAAAACTTTAATAATATTTATATTCTACTGAGTGCTTATTTCTAAGAAACTCCCCATGTGGTATATACATCCATGCCCTCGAAAAGCTGGGCGAGGCATGGAAGGGCTTAAGTGAACACACTGGCTGGTTTGCTCTGGGGGATCTTTTGTCCTTGGGTTTGCCTCAGATCCTCCCTGGGTTCTGCCCCGAGGAGGCACAAAGCTGTTTGCTCTAATGTGTTCTTCAGATAAAATGCCTCTCCCCCAAAGACAGCATGAAACCATGCATCAAAAATCAAGTGAAGTCTTGGAGGCTGGGGAGGTGATGTTAGACTTCCATGGGATCCTAGACTTCCCTCAAGGGCTGTGGCCCACAGCTTTCTACCTTCCGCAGGAATCAGGATGGCTCTGGGCTTGGATTTCTGGATTTTGATTCCCTCCCTTCGCTGTCTCCTCTTTGGAGATCTTACTATTTGTCTTGGTATCAAGGTATGACAAAGGGAATAAGGTACTCACCCTTCCGGCCTCCCTGGAGCCTGGCCCAGTCACAGAGCTGCTAATTCACCTTGGGCAGGTCGGTACTGCAGTGGCGCTGCTCTGGTCGTGTGCGTTTCCCGCCTCCTTGGCACAGGCTGTGCTGTCAGCACGCAGGGCTCTTCCCTGTGTGGCCGACCTGAACGATTCAGCTCGCCCCTCTGAGCCTGGACGCGCATCTCCACCTCTGTGAAACCCGCCCCACACCTCCCGCCCCTTCTCACGTAGCTCTGTTGCCTTATACATTCATTCTTTCAACCACGTTTATTACATTTGTATTACGTGCCAGGTGAACAAAATCAGTATGGTCCTTGTCCTTGCAAAGCTCGTGACCTAGTACAGGAGACTAAGTAAATGGCCCAAAGTCCAGATGTCATCTTCCC